TCTCTCTCTCTCTCTCTCTCTCTCTCTCTCTCTCTGCATACTGGGAAATCAATTGAGAGCCACTGATAAAGGTTCAGGTGACATTTTTATCACTTGAAAACCTATCTTTTCTCTTCTTCCTCATTTCTTTCTCTAAGCAGGATCTACTGAGCATTTACAATGTAGCACTGTGTTTGCTACTGAAAAACATGCAAAAAATTAAGAAACAGCTTCTCCCTGAGAGAAGTGGACATAAACATATAAAATGTTTAACTACCGAAGCAACATTGTTGTTTAATCAAGATGAGTCCAACTGTGGTAAATGCCATTTTAGAACAGGGAAGTCCTTGCAGAGAAAGGAGGTCTTTGACTAGGATTTTGAAGTTTGTATAGGTGGAAGAGACTGGAAAGGGCATTCTAGGCCAACGAAATATCATGAGCCAGGACTCGGAGTGTGGGATGAAGATATGCAGCCTGCTCAAAGGAGACTGCAAATATAACAATGTGCAGCTTACTTCAGAGCGATTTGGCTACAGGGTGTGTACACTCGCAGGAGAGGGACAGACAGACAGAAAGTGAAAAATCACCCCCCCCACCCCCCAGGAAGGATGGCCGTGCCTCAATCCATTCTTCTCCATTCTCCTCTTGGGATTTTGGGCATGCTCAGCGTTTTTTGTTTTTTTTTCTTTTTCTTTCTTTTTTTTTTTTTTGGAGGGTTTCCTCCTCTAGGGAGCGTGCGCTCGCCAGACAGACAGAGACAGACAGAAAGATAGAAAGCGAGAAATCACCCCCAGGAGGGATGGCCACACCACAATCCCTTCTCCTCCATTCTCCTCTCGGGATCTTGGGCACGCACACGCGCCTGGCCTGAGTTCTAAGTCACCGGGTCGGGGATGCAAACTGCGATCAACTACATAGGAGTCCAGCAACATAGCCATTATGCTAACTGCTGGTCCCTACACTCAGCATGTTTTAAGCCACTGCGTCCAGGACTCAAACGGCAGTCAACTACGTGGGAGTGGGAGTTCAGCAACATAACCATTACTCCACCTGCTGGTCCCTGTAACTAACTTTTATTGAGAACTTAATATATGCCAGGCCCAGTTCTAGCACTTTACATGAATTTCTCATTTAATCCTCACAATAACTCTCTGAGATGTATTATAGCGGAGGAAACCAAGGCAGAGGGAAGTGTAAGTCACTTGCCAAAGTTACCACAGCCAGTTAAATGGTGAGCAGGAGTAGCAAGAAATAAGACCAGTTTGATGGATGAGGTCACATCATGTGGAGCCTTGAGTTGGTGTTCGTTCTTGCTCATTTCCCTCACTGAGTCACTAGAAAGGCCTTCTTGCTTTTTGGCAATTATTTTCTCTTATTTTTATTGACTCCTCTGACTCCTGACTGTATGGCTAGCCTCCTTAAGTAAAGCTGTCTGGCCATCCAGTTAAGGAAATACCTGTACAGTTTTTGAGCAGGACTTCACGGGGACTGGTAATCTAACATAGAAAGTGTCGGGGACTCAGCCCTTTTGAACTAGAGAAGGAGTGGGGAGATTGAGCTTTGTTATGGACTAAGTGTTTGTGCCCCCCCTCAATTCAATATTGGAGACCTAACTAACCCCTAGTGTGGCTATATTTGGAGGTGGGGCCTCTAAGAAAGTAATTAAAGCTAAATGAAGTCATAAGGGTAGGATCCTGATCTCACAGGATTAGTGCCTTTATAGAGAATGGAGGACAAGGGATTGCGGCCTGGCCATCCCCCTGGGGGGTGATTTCTCGCTTTATATCTCTCTCTGTCTTTCTGGCGAGAGAATGCGCCCTATAGCAAAAACATCTAAAAAAAAAAAAAAAAAGGAGGAAGAAGAAGAAATACTCCGGGGGAGGGGGTGTAGCAGGTGGCATGGAGGTTGAGGTGCTGGACTCCCACATAGCCAAGCACAGTTTGAGTCCCAGACCTGGTGGTTTGCTTTCTTGTTTTCCCTCTCTCTTTCTCTCTCACACAC